CTCAATTAAAAGCAATGAGGGCGGGCGCTGCTGGGCTCACGGGCCTGTAATCCTGCTCGTGGGGGGGCCGGAGGGCGGGGGATTGCTCAAAAAATGTCCAGGGGAGTGTTCAAAACCAGCCTGCAGCAAGGACTGAGACCCCGGTCTCTACGTTATAAATACAAGAAATTAATGGGGGCATAACTGATTATATAAAAAATTAGCCGGGCATGTGGCGCATGCCTGTAGGTCCCAGGCTACCCGGGAGGCTGAGGCAAGAATGATCACTCGAGCCAAGGAGTTTTGAGGTTGCTGTGAGCGTAGGCTGACGCCACGGCACTCACTCTAGCCTGGGCAACAAAGTGAGACTCTGTCTCAAAAGAGAAAAAAAAAAAAAAAAAAAAAGCAATTGAACGTGGGAAGGAACGTTTAAAAAGACTACTGCTAGGATGGACATGTGACTCTTCTTGATTCAAAAGTAGAGTATCTGTATATAAAAGGAATTTGTTCATGATATAATTCTGACGTGAAGATTGAAAAAAAGAAACCTTCACTTGACTAGCCTTAAAAAAAAAAACTTGCAATTTCATTGCATATCAAAATAAAGAAAAAAGAGAGAGGTCTGGAATAAAATAAAAGTTGTTAACAGTTACTCCAGGTGGTAAGGAAGAACTTCAGTTTTTATTGTATAGATTTCCATATCATTTAACTATTTTTCAATAAGTATGCACAACGTTTTTACTTTTAAACCAACAAGTCATAAGAATTGTTTATTGAATTCTTTTTTTCTTTTTCTTTTTCCTTTCTCAAGGATATTTCAATGGTTGAATTCTTTTGGGCCAGTTGATAATCACATGTTTACAAACAAGTAAATTGTAAAATTAGGTACCATATAAAACATTGCTCACAGGCCGGTAGCAGTGACTCACGCTTGTAATCCTAGCACTCTGGAGAGCCGAGACGGGAGGATCACTTAAGGTCAGAAGTTGAAGACCAGCGTCAGCAAGAGTGAGACCCCATCTCTACTAAACATAGAAAGAAATTAGCCAGGAACTAAAAATTTTAAATTAGCCTGGTGTGGTGGGTAGTGCCTGTAGTCCCAGCTACTCAGGAGGCTGAGGCAAGAGGATTACTTGAGCCCAGGAGTTTGAGGTTGCTGGGAGCTAGGCTAACGCCAGGGCACTCTAGCCTGGGCTCTGTCTCGAAAAAAAAAAAAAAGAAAGAAAGAAAGAATGGGGGAAATGGGCATTTATTGAAACCTTAAAATCTGTACCCCCATAATATGCCAAAATAAAAAAAATTAAAAAAAAAAAAAAGAAAGAAAGAAAAAACATTGTTTACAAATAGAAAATTATACCTAACCACTACAGAGTGAATCTTTGAAATGCTGTTGTTGGATATGCTACCCTTAGATTTCTTTCCACACATAATTGAACCTTTGCTTTGTACATGGTAGTTGCTCAATAAATACTTATGAGACTGATCATTAGGTCATCTTCCTTTTTTTTCCTTTTTGCTTACAAAACTAGCAATTTTATTTTATTTTATTTTTTTGAGACAGAGTCTCGCTTTGTTGCCCAGGCTAGAGTGAGTGCCATGGCATCAGCTAACTCACAGCAACCTCAAAACCTGAGCTCAAGCAATCTTCTGCCTTCAGCCTCCTCCCGAGTAGCTGGGACTACAGGCATGCGCCACCATGCCCGGCTAATTTTTTCTATATATATTAGTTGGCCAATTAATTTCTTTCTATTTATATTAGAGATGGAGTCTCGCTCTTGTTCAGGCTGGTCTCGAACTCCTGACCTTGAGCAATCCGCCCTCCTCGGCCTCCCAGAGTGAAAACTAGCAAATTTAGATGTCCAAGGTAACAGTAGCTACTCAGTGAAAAACTGACAATGATTAAAAAAGAACAATTGAATGTGAAGGACTAGGATAGTAACAGCTCTGAATCTTAAAGACAACAGCTAAAATAACAAATGTCTTAACTAAAAGTGGGTACAAGTTTGAGAACAAGCCAGGGAGCCTATTAAAACTACAGAGTATAAATTCCCAACTAAACTCCCTAGTTTTTAAGTCTACGAAAAAATGGATTTTCCAACTCTCTACCAGCTGAAGGAATCTAAATTTAGGCTAAATAATCAATTACAACAAAAAAAAGTGTTGGCTATATATATATTTTTTTCTTTCCTTTTGTACTAAGGAAAAAACAAGAGGACCCAGGCTAAATTTGTAATATTACAAAATTTTTATTTAGAATGTCAATCAAATAAATTCTTGAAGAACGAATAGATTTTCAAGGAAAGCAGCGAATCCCCTTTTCCACAGGACTTTGGAAGTTAAGATGGAAATCCCTCTGTGTGGCATGACTTAGGCACAGTTCTGCTTAGGAGCCAGCAGAAGAGATAATGTAGCTGCATAACGTGACCAGGAAGTTCAAGTGCATCCATGCTGATTTTTCCTTCCGCAATCTAGCATTTTTAAGTCAGAAAATAAGTGTCATGTTCACAAGCTTGAGCCAACCTACATGCAACCATCTCCATTATTATCCACGCTCTTAATTAAAACTGGAAAGAACAGTGGGGACATGACCTCTCAGAAGTATAGGCTATTAGAGGATAAAGGTAAGAAGGGCTCCTTAGGAAACCAAAAAGTGCTGGATTTTTTTTTTTTTACCATTTCTGGCATCTAAATAAAGTTCAAAGAAGAAAAAGTATGAAGTGAACACATAAGATATTCCAGTCCTGGTTTATTGATATAACATTAGGTTGACCTCCACAATGATAGCTACTAGAAGTGTCATAATAATAACCACAGATATAATAACTGTTTACAATTATAATTACAGGTTGGATCAATGCATCCTGCAGTCACACATTTTGGAGCAGCGTAATCCTCTCCACAAGCTGATGCCACATCAATTAATACATATTCAATTTTCCACGTGGTTTGGGAACTTGGTTTTCAAAAGGCAATTGTAGGATCTAAAATTGTTTTCTGGCCGGGTGCGATGGCACACCTGTGTAATCCTAGCACACAGGGAAGCTGAGGCAGGAGGATCGCTAAAGGTCAGGAGTTCAAAACCAGCCTGAGCAAGAGCAAGACCCCCATCTCTACTTAAAAAAAAAAAAAAAAATAGAAAGAAATTAGCCAGAACTAAAAATATATAGGCCGGGCGCGGTGGCTCACGCCTGTAATCCTAGCACTTTGGGAGGCCGAGGCTGGCGGATTGCTCAAGGTCAGGAGTTCGAAACCAGCCTGAGCGAGACCCCGTCTCTACCAAAAATAGAAAGAAATTAATTGACCAACTAAAAATATATATACAAAAAAAAATTAGCCGGGCATGGTGGCGCATGCCTGTAGTCCCAGCTACTCAGGAGGCTGAGGCAAGAGGATCGCTGAGCCCAGGAGTTTGAGGTTGCTGTGAGCTAGGCTGACGCCATGGCACTCACTCTAGCCTAGGCAACAAAGACAGACTCTGTCTCAAAAAAAAAAAAAAAAAAGATACTAACCAAAATTTTAAAATGATTGCTTCTGGGTGACCAGGATTTGGGGTGATTTTTACTACCTTCTAATTTTTGCTACTGTTTGAAGCTTTCACAATGGGCATGTATTGAACATTTACTTAATATAAAACAAATAAAGCTTTTTACTTTATAATCTACAAAATTAAAAATCAGTAAGATTTTTATAATTAAAATGATGAATAAATAATCATTTCAATAGCAAAAGTAGTAACAAGTACACGAGGTTGTCAGGATGGCAAGCTCTTACTCTCACAGCGTAGATTTATTATCACTATTGAAATTTACCCTTAATCTGACCTTTCTTGAGAACACCAATCCATTCCCACTATCCTGCCTTCAACAACCTTTCTTCATTTGAAAACTGAATGAATATTGTGAGTCTTGCCATCCTCTACATGTCTATTGCTTTCAAGAAGCTCAGTATCCCAGTACTGAGAACTTGCGAGATCAAGTCCAAAGAACTCATCCCACAAATGAAGGAATGGAGACAGACAGGTGACATGAGCTGCCCAAAGGCCCACAGCTAAAGCTTGTCAACACAATCTCTCTCCCTTTTGTCCACAGAAAGTTATCTCGACCTCATCATGCCACTTCCGTGGTCTCCTGGGACTCCCAATTGAACGGAAACTAAGCTCGTGCTGAAATTAACTTGCATCCTAGCCTGTATTCACAGAGCTCTGGGGGTGTGCAAGGCTGAAGGGACAGGCAGAAGACCCAGGCTCGTGGCTGTGATGCTGCACCTGGCAAAAATAGAGAGGTGCATTGATATAGGGGCTCTTAGAGGCAGACAGATGTGGGGGGAAGAACCCTTTGTGTGTTATACAGCTTCCCAGGCCTAGAAAATATTAACAATGTTTATTCTGTGCATTCACAGAGAGGTTCAGACGTGGCATTTTGCAGCCATCTGTCAATAAAGAGCTAATGTTCGAAACCAAAAGAATAAATGCAATTCCTTAATATATGGAGAGCAAAATCTTAAATTTAAGGCTGGAGTGAAGGAAAATATTCAGTCAAAGGTAATAAAACATACTAATAGCTGTAATTTATCGAAAACCTACTATGCACTTATACATAAACTATTACTCCAAACTTTCACTACAACCCACAAGCCTTTGTTCTTCAATCAATACTGCTTCCCCGCCAGGACAGGTCAGACTTCACATCACCAGAAGGCCATGGAGAAGAAAATGTGAAAGAGAAGGTTATTACTGCCAAGTGGTGCTCTGAAGCTTAGAAGGATGAAGACTGTGAAAATCCATTGGATATGGGGTTTAGGACATTCTCAGTGTCCTTTTAGAGTTTTATTCTCCCTCCTGTCGTGTTACCATGAAATCTGACCTTACTTGGCTCACCGAATTTAATTACCGGGATTGAACTGAGCCTACAGTAACTGTAATATTTTCTGGAAGTCAATGTGACTCATCTGTATGAGGTAAAGGAAATTTTACCAGGAAGAAGAGTTGCTATTTAGCAAACGCCACTAAGCTTATCAGAGTACAGTTGTTGCAATCATTTATTGGCATGTATTAACTCCTTCCTCTGGGGAGGGCAATCTACAAAATCTATAAACATGGTTTGTAAATCATTCCCCGTTTCTTTCCCCTCTTCTATTCCTACGCTTTTTGCCTAAAGCGAGTGCAGGCAGCGTGCAGAAAAGCTCAGTTCAAAGAATCCATCACCACAAACAGGACATGACTCTCTGGCTTGTTTCTCTGCAGTCAGACAAGCTTGGAACTACTTTTTGCCATGAGGAAGTTCATGTTCATATGTAGTTTGTAAACCTATTATCATTATTTCCCTTCAAGTATTTTAGTCATTCCTATTTTCCTGATCTTCTCTTATCTACTTAATATCTGGGTTTCTTTGCACACTCAGTGACCATTCTTAGAATTTTAACATCTTGGCCAGGCACGGTGGCTCACGCCTGTAATCCTAGCACTCTGGGAAGCTGAGGCAGGGGGAATCACTTGAGGTCAGGAGTTCGAGACCAGTCTGAACAAGAGCGAGACTCCAGCTCCACCAAAAATAGAAAAAATTAGCCAGGCATGGTGGCCAGTTTCTTTGGAGGCTGAGGCAGAAGGATTGCTTGAGCCCAGGAGTTTGAGGTTGCTGTGAGCTAGGCTGATGCCATGGCACTGTAGCCTGGGCAACAGAGTGAGACTTTGTCTCAAAAAAAAATAATAATAATTTTAACATCTTCCACATCCACATAGAGATTAGTGATTGCACATTTTCCCAAAATATATTCCACTGATGTCATACCCAAGATCAGTGCTGTCCAATAGAAATAGCATGTGAGCCATTATGTGTAATTTAACATGTTCTAGTTGCCTCATTACAAATTTTTAAAAGAAACAGGTAAAATAAATTTTAATAAGATATTATACTTATCCCAATATAGTCAAAGAACTTTTGTTTTAACATTTCATCAATATTTTAAAATTTTTAAGGGGATAGTTTATATTTTTTGTACTAAGTTGTGGGGAAGCTGTGGCCTTCTGATTTCAAGAGTGTTCTTTTTTAAGCATCAAAGGAGGCAAGAAATGCTTCATCTTTCTCTGCTGCACCTCTTTTAATAATTTGTTCTGTAAAATTTGGATTCAGTCATAAGGCCACACTTAAGGAACTAGAAGGCCACATGTGTCTTTAAGGCTGCAGGTTCCCCAACCCTGCCCCTAATATGGAAATATAGTTCTTTCTCAGGCCAAGTTTTCCAACTAAATTAGGAGTAACCATGTCTTAGACATTTTGGTGATCTCTTTCCTCCCTTACACACTCTCCCTTACCTCAACTCTTGCATTTCATTATTGGGAAAACTGGTGCCCAGAGCGGTTGACAATTGGCCCAAGGCCACATAGTAGTTGGGAACAATGATCTAAATTCAGTGACCAGGTCAGAGCTCTTCTGACTGTTTTAAAAACCTAAACCCCTTCCCTTCCCTCCTATTTCTCCCTCAGGGTTCAGTCATTCTTCCTTTAAGGCTCTTAAACAAGAATGAGTTGATCTTACCCTTCTCATTCTTTACATTTAGTGACCAGAACTACCTGATCTTAGAAGCACAACAGCAGGATTTAGGAATTTCTCACTGGTAGCTCATACCTGGCAACTTTTCTTTTCATTTTCTTAAACATAAGACTAATAAACCCTTCACTGAAGAAGAGAGGAAAGGTTACTCACTGGCTAACTTGCTAACAAAGCATTGTGCTATACACATTCATGTACTGTGGTCATCTCTCTAGGTGCCCCTAGTAATTTGTTAGTGGTATTTCTTTGTGGTTTTTCATTTTTCTACATGTCATTTTTTATATAAACAAATAATACATGTTAATAATAAATGAATATGGCTAGTGTATATCTGTCCCTTTACATTTGATAAAGGGACAGTCTGATCCTTCAGTCTGGTTTAATTCTCCCAAATCTATTAATAGAAGCCTTTTTTTTTTTTAACCATTTCAGGTAATCATCAAAATACTTTCCAAAGGTAGAAATGGAAAGACAATGCAGTTTTGCACTCTGATCCCCTACTATATAAAAATCACTCATCAGTATAAAATGGCTTAACCATGGTTCAGCTTGAGCACCCAGAATATTCCACTTAAATTTCTATCAGTGCAGACCATGACAACACTTGATCACTTCAGCAATGCTAAGGGCAACCATTTGTTGACCTCTCCTTCTCCCAACTACAATAAACAGGAAGTAAACAAGATAGTATACTGTCAGATCCTAATATTATGCAACAAAGAAATTATAAAAATTAGTTTTATGCATTTTTAAATATATATGTATTATTTGTCTTATGTAGCTTTAAAGCATTTTCACTGATCATTTTCAACAGATAAAATAATAAGATTCCCACACATCTCACCAATCCATTCCAAATGATTCCCACTTTAGATTTCAATATACAATGGGTAATATATTTATGTGGAGGTGGGAAAATG